TTAAAATCACTGACGAAATTTTTTAGAATCCAGCAGCGAACTTTAATAATGAGTCGTGAAAAGACTTAAAAGATTAATTTGTGCAGAATCCGAGCAATTTTGTAACTGACAGAAGGATAAAAGAATAGAAGGATACATGTCAGCAAGATTGTTATGTTATTTTCAAAAACGGAATTACTTTTATTAAGACGATTTATCAGTAACTTTAGAGAAAGTAAGTATTAGAGAAAATTAGAAATTAAGAATCGAAAGGATAGAATCTTTAGAAAAATTAAGTATCCAAATTAATATGACAATCGATTTTAAATAATTAAGTTCCTGAAAAGAAAACGATTCTGCATTTCAGACCTAGAGAATAAGATATACGTAATAATAATATTTGTATACGTGCTGCGTCACTAGACACTACAAGAACGAGCCTCAACTGAAAACCCCTATATTAGGCAAGGGATTGGGTCGCCAGTCATAGTTCCCCGAGAGGTTTATAATATACTCTAATCATGCTAGTACTCCGGGCTCAAAATCCGAAGTGGCAAAATTTTAAACTTTCTCTATAATCACAGCTACCTCCTAGGCCTGCGGGGTCACCACACCCTGTTCTTAGGTTTCACCGTGGAGGGGAACATGCACTCCTGGAGATCTGACTGTCTGTTAAAGATGCTACCTGCCAGTACCACACGGAACACCCGAAGCCCTTGCACCGGGTCTGACCGTGGCCGTTGGCCGTGGTCCGGCACGGGTTTACAACACCTCACCCTGTGGGCCACCCGAATGAACGGGAGCGGTTTTACCCGCGAACACTCACAGATCACGAGGAACCGCCAAGCTCAGGTATTTTATAACCCATGGCCGAGACTGCCTAGGAACAGATCCTAACCAGTTGCCTTACAGAATTCTCTTCGTCGACACATCCGGGAGGGGGGAAGATATGCGTAAGAGAGAAACGCAGCCGCTTCTTATTTAGAATTGTGAAATGATTTCACCTACCGAGGCAAGCAAAGAGAAAAAATGTTGTTGGGAAACAATATGCTGAAATCACATTTATCATAAGTAGCTAGAATGTCAAGCAAATGAGAGAAATCAACTGATTCAAATCTCTCTGTTCGTTTGTTTCATCGAGTATGGCGAATCATGAAACCTTCTTGAATATTTTCTCTAAATTTGGTGGAAAAAGGAGAGATGACATAACTTTATTTTAATTTTTTTAATATATTGAGATTTTTAAGAATAATTTTGAATCTTATTACTACCCAAAATAATTTATTTCTACTGTTTAAGTAAAGATTTAGCTGAAGTCTTTCATTACTATGTGTTTCCTTTGCCGTTTATATTTATATCTTATATACAATATGGTAAGATGAAAGATAAATGGTCCAACACTTATATTTCTCACCCGTAGTGCGTGATTTATCGTTTAGTTTCTCTCTTCATTTATTCTTATTCTGTGGGTCTCTTTTTGACTTTTCCTAATACAGATTGCCTCTTCTTTCCCATTACTTGTATAATGTGTTTTCACATTTCATCAATAGAAATAAATGTTACCTAATATTATTGTGATTAAAATAATTTTTTTCTGGACAAAATGAAATCTCTTTTTATAAATCATAATTTCATTTTAAAATGTACAGGAATAAACTCATTTTAAAGAATTATTTGAACTTTATCAAAAAATTGTAAAAGCGATTAAAAAGTCATTTTAATTAGAAATATATTTTTTATAATATTTTAGTAAAGACTTTTATGCTCTACTGAAAAGGCATATGAATTTTTTTTATCATTTCCTGATAAAATTTCATAGAACAGCTGAAACGTGTTTAAAAAATATATTGATTTATCACTCTTTATTACTATATAATATTCTCAGTTCTATTCGCAAAAGAATTTACATGTTAATTTTCAAAGCGATGAGATATTCCGTTTGCATTACATGTTAATACAACTGTTAGAAATAACTAATTAATAATTTAAATAAACATGTTAATATATTTCAACGCAGAATATGCTTGAATGCTAAATTTAATTTCCTTTTATAATAAGAAGGTTACCTTCTGCAGCTAAAATTATCACTTCAATAAGCTTTCCTTTCTCAAGGACTTCCGATTAAGAAATTGTATTTGATTTGAAATTTGTTTAATGTCTGTTGCAAACATTTATTATCGAGAAAAGTTTACCGGATTTCAATAACTTTCAGTAACTCATGCAAAATTTCATCACGCTTAATTCAATAGAAGAATAAATTGATCTTTCTTTCGCAAGCGTCAGACAACATAAATAGTAATCAAAGAAAAATAAAATAAAAACAAGTCAGTATAACATAAAAAATTCAGTCACATTTATCCCCCTCTCCAAAAAAATTCAGAAATGATTCAGATTTTAACGGTTGCCCAAGAGGGCTGTTTTAAAGTTTAATATGGTTTATCAACAGAGATGGCCCATGGGGAACAGCGATACATTTTATACGATACTACATTTAGACTAACATGGTAACGTTATATATCTTCCCCATATTTGAAAAGTGAAAAAATATATAATACAGTATAATTCTACAAAAATATTTAATATTTTTATATATTATATTATTAAAATATTATTAATATATATATATATTATTATTATTAAAATATTTAATATTTTATTAGATATATCATGAATTAAATGCATTTATGTTCAAATTGACCAGACTATAAAGTAAAACATAGAATATTCTTAGGAGCTGCATCTATTGTTTTTAAATAGCTTAGATTGTTAATCAATAACAGACAGACTAAATTTCAAAGATAAATACCTTATATTTTGCAAATGGTAACAGACTTGAATGACTTGAAATCAACGCAAAATGTTGTTCAACTGAGTTCTGCGGTATTAAAATTTTTTTAAATAAGTACTAAGGTGTTCTTTTTATTCTCTCATTAAGTCTGCTTCTAAGTATGGTAGTAAGTATTAAGATATCAGGAAAACCATGTGCTTATAAAAATTTAGTTCTCTTTTAAGACATGAGCTCGTGAGCTATTTGAATAATTATCGGCAACATTAATAAGAAAAGATTATATCTGTGGAAGGATTATTTTTTACGTTATTTAAAGCACGCACTTCTGACAACGTAAGAATGTAAAAAGCTATAATTCCTTACTTTCTGAGGATGCGCTCTCGATAGTTATCAGTAAACATAACTCATTTAAAGTTTCACTTTGCGTAAAGCTTTCCAACAAACTTGTTAAAGAAAGAAAGAAAGTTCCTTCGTTCAGCTTAGAAAGTGGCCTACGAGATAAAGCTAAACGAAAATGTTTATCGCTTGGCGATCTTCTAAGAAGATCGCCCGAACTTTTCCTATTTAGAATTTTAATGTAGATCCGCCCATCCATTCTTATCAACGAAACATTCCTTAAACAGCTTCCTCAGAAAATGAGAGAGCGCGTCTTCCAATGAATTATTTTCTTCCCTCAAATAAAAATAAAAATCTCTAGTTAGGTGCTATTTTTCAGGGGAAAACTGTATTTACTTGCCAGATCTCCTCCTCTGGGGATATTTTGCGTTATTTCTTCTTTCTTCTTCTCTTTTCTTTTGCTTCTTTTCCTCCATGGAGGTTGTAATCACGTGGTGCTTGATTACTCTCGAACATCAGGTTTTCGGTGCGCCATCTTAGGACAGTGTAGCGGTAATTTTTCGTTCGTAGAAAGTGTATTGTGTTCCCACTTTTTTCTGACTTCATTTACTTTTAAGGTAAGTATGCGGAGGGTAGGGGATATACTTCATTAAGAGCTCTTTTCTACAAGAACCTGTTAGAACAGACTGGATCTAGTGAATTGATTAAAAACACAATCCTAATTTCTTTTTATCATGGCCTAATGTTTACTCTAGTGGCTAAAGCTGCCTCTAAGTAATTGCATTTCTGCTGTTAGTCACATGTTTCCTACTTTCTTAGACCTTCTTTCATCTCCTTTCTTTGTCTTTAATGTTTGGGACGAGATTGTCATTTATACAATTTTCGGATTTATATCTTCTTACAATTTGTACGTTTAGCGCAATAGTTGTATTCGGTGTACTGAGTTCTAGACGTTAGGTTCTTTTTGTCTTGCATGCCTCCCTTGTTTCCCGGTCAGTGTTTAACCAAGTCTGATTAATTAATATATAATTTTTATTCTGGAAAATGAACAGTTTTTTCTGTTTTTGTTCACTGATTTTTCGCATTCGCCAGTTAGAGGACGAGAAAATGAAAGATTTTGCTGAAAGCAATAAGTTTACAGTTGTTTGAAAGAAATGAATTATTTATAAATGATCATTTATCAGTTTTACTTCATATCTTTTTCTTCTCTGGCTTCTTTAATTATTGCAAAACACAGGGGGACATTCTGTTTAAATGTCATCCTGCTTTGTTCCAAAGCATAGTGAGGAATATAATATGAGGATCTTGTACCCTTCTTCACATACCAACAGCTTCTTAAGGAGGCTTTAGGATACACCGATTCTAAATGCTCCATTTCTCAAAAATACTGTAATTTCAAATTACCGTACCTAATCAGGAACTGGATACAAGCCCTTCGGGACAAGCGGCGATTTCTCCTAACCGCAATACTACCCCGCCGTTCCATGTGAAATGGGAAATATTTGTCGGTGACGATACGTTAGAAATTGTATAGATGTTGCATACTGCCAACTTCTAACTTGCAAAAAAACTGAAAGAATAATATAGTAGCTGATAATTCAGAAATTTAAACGTTCCTGAATTATAATCAAAAATAATTTGAAATTCACTTAAACTATTCGGAGAAATTAGACTGTGAAACACCCAGTCAGAGAAAAATACATAAAACTTCGCGAAACTTTACTGAAAGAAAAATGTTAGACATATTTCAGGCTAACTCTTTTTCTTTCTAAGATACTTTGTTTTTAACTGAGTTACATTTTAAATTATAATGCGATTTTGTTAGCTGCACATTAGAATTAACTTCTCTCCCCTTCTTTACTTCGATAATAAAAAAATCTCTTTGTTTTACCTATAGAGACCAGGATGGAATACAGGATAATGTGGATAATTGCCCAGATATTCCAAATAGTGATCAGTTAGATACAGACGAGGACAGGAAAGGTAGGTGAAAAATAATCTTTTCGCAAACTTCAATCGATGAGCTTGAATGTCGTCCATCAAAGCACGTTCTTCACCAAAAAATATTAAAATATTATTTTATTAAAGATAAGCCAGAATAATTTATTGGGTATTGCCATTTATCCCCGAGACTTATCACATCATCTACAAAACACTCGTCAGTTTTTTGTGTAAATGCCTTAAAGCAGCGGTTTTCAACCTTTTGACTAACGCGTACCATCTAAACAAAAATTTAAAACCTCTAGTACCACCACTACAAAGTACTACTACCACCACCACTCTTGAACAAAGCTCAGATCGCACAAATTTACGAGTGTTAGAGAACAACCTCAGTCAGAATGTTGGGTTTTTAATTTTTGAATTTAATAGTTAAAAATACGAGGGTAAGTTGAAAAATAACCTTCCCCTGTCGACTGTGGTCAGAGTTGTGTATGAAAGTCAAAACATAGAATGAGACATTAAAGATATGACATACCTTTATTTTATTATTCTCGTACGAGTACATTGAGACATTTGTCATATCGCTTGATAAGCTTCAAAAAGGTCCTTCAAGAAAAATTCACGCTTTGCATATGGAAGAAGCGTTGAACGGCTATGGGCGAAAGGCGACACAGCAGGAAAACGCGCAAGTCACCGATACACCATTGGGTAGAGGTTGCTGCAAATCAAGCAGATGGCGCTGTTGCAGTGCCTGCTCAAAGCGGAGACCAGCCTCTCATTTGAGCCCCGGTAGGTATGGAGAGAAGGTGCGTTTTGAATTCGTGGTCAAAGGAGGAAGTGAGAGCGGTTATCCGCTATGAATGGGCACGTGGAGTATCAGGAACAGAAATTCATAACCGCCTCGTGGAAGTCTATAGGCCAGGTGTGATGTCGAAGCAAATGGTGCGGAGATGGTGTCGCACATTCAGTGATGGACGTCAGCAAGTGGAGGACATACCGAGAGCTGGACGGTCGCGCACGGCCACTACAGATGCAAACGTCAGGAAGGTGGATGACATGATTAGAGCGAACCGGCATATCACCATCGATGAAGTAGCGGAAGAACTTGGAATCTCACGTGAGCGAGCTCAAAACATCATCCACGACATTCTTCGATACAGAAAAGTGTCAGCACGATGGGTGCCCCGACAATTGACCTCGACACACAAGGAACAACGCATGGGGTCAGCCTGGAACATCTCGTGCGTTACCATGAAGATGGCAATGACTTTCTGTTTCGGATTGTGACGGGGGATAAAACGTGGGTCCACCATTTCACGCCAGAATCGAAAGCCGCATCTATGGAGTGGAAACATCCGTCATCACCTGTCCGAAAGAAGTTCAAGACAACTCCCTCTGGAAGGTAAAGTACTCCTCACAGTTTTCTGGAACGCCCAAAGTTTTGTTGCTGGACTTTTTGGAGGTTGGAACCATCAATGCTACGCGCTACTGTGACACCCTGTCGAAATTGAAAAAGGCGATTCGGAAAAAGCGGCCTGGCTTTCTCACATCTGGCGTACTGCTGTTGGATGACAATGCCAGGCACATTCGGCGACGGCAACGCAAAACCATATTGCAACTCTTGGTTGGGAGCGCCTACACCATCCGCCATACAGTCCTGATCTCGCACCAAGCGACTTCCATCTGTTTTCGGCTTTGAAGAAAAATCTCGGGGGAAGGCGCTTTGGAAGCAATACTGAAGTGAAACAAGGCGTTCAACGCTTCTTCCATATACAAAGCCCTGATTTTTTCCTAGAGGGCTTTTTGAAGCTTATCAAGCGATATGACAAATGTCTCAATGTACTTGGTACCTATGTGGAAAAATAAAGGTATGTCATATCTTTAATGTCTCATTCTATTTTTTGACTTTCATACACAACTCGGACCGCAGTCGACAGGGGAAACTTATTTTTCAACTTACCCTCGTATTTTGCTTCTTTGCGTACCACCGGTTGAGAACCCCTGCCTTAAAGTATAGTTGGGAACGAATATACTAATAATGTTAAAAAACCACTCCCGCAGATTACTACAACTATAGGATCTCACCGCTTTAGCTCAACTCCCTATTAACGGGAAAAGCGAATTAGGCAAAGAGTCTTATTTTCGGGACTCAAACTATTGCATTAGACCATAATATTATCAGACTCGAAACTGAAGCGAGCAAGGCTGCCTTCTTAATTACCTGAGTGTAGGAGAAAGAATTATTCGAACTCCTTGATCGTCTGCCTGGGGGATCTTAATAGGAATTTGGCTTGTGATACTTTGTTCCCACAGCCGAGAGCCCCTTAACTACGATCTCAACGAAAATTCACTTGGGACATTTATGAATGTATGCTACGAAAAACTCTTTATATTATTTTCGAAATTTTTAAGTGAATTTAAATTTATTAAACTTAACTAACTAAACTAAATGTAAATATGGTAAGCAAGTGATACAAAAAGAAATTTTTCAACGAAAACGAAGAAATTAATCTATTTTCCTCATTATTTGTTCAAATGCTTGCTTACAAACGCGCACGTTTAAATGTTTCCAGGTAATGATTTTAATACTGGAATGTATTTGACTGACAAAATTATTCTTTGATTAATCAACTTCTTTTCATCTTGCAAACATCATTAATTAACTTAAGCCTAGTTTTTCAGTGTAATAGTACAATTTCTAAATATAACCAATGTTACATAGTAAATACTTGGCAGGAAATATCAAATCGCTATTAATTTTTCTTCTGTCCGCGTTCTATGAAATTCGAATTTTCACTTTTCCTCCTACAACACTGATATCAAGAATAACATTATATGACTTTTTTAAGGTACGAGTAATCATGCAAAGCAGATTAAAAAAAACCTAACATTTTCAAGGTTGATATAAAAGATCTTTTTATCAAAAAACTGTATCTTTAGTTATTCAAAAACTGTGATAATTTTTTATTAAAGTTTGATTTTGAAATAAAATGCATGTAAGGCAATATTTACACGTATGGTCAGAATAAAAAACTCAAAATTTTAGAGCGCAATGAAAACATTTATGTTGATTTGAAATTTTCATATGGAAACAAAAAATTCTTTAAATGAATTATCAAATCTAGTACTTAAACGTAGTGATCTTTGAGAAAATTCCGTATCGGAATGAAATGGAGATACAAATAAAGTAGCACAAATACAACTAATGCAACGATTTTACGAATTACTTGAAAATATATTTAATTTGATTCTGCAACAAAAAAATATTTAAGCATAATTTTGACTTTGAAATTTTCCATTTCGAACACATTTTTGATCTCCAGAAAACCCACAAATTTATAAACCAATAAATATGAATATAAAGTAGTACAAATTAAGAGTAATGAAGATATCATCCAGTTATTTTAAAATATATTATGTAAATTGTTTTCTATGAAAAAGATATTTATGAACCTATTTTAACTTTTTATCTTTCAGGTGATGTGTGTGATTTTGACAAAGACAACGACAGTGTGCCAGATAATAAGGATAACTGCCCATTGGTTTTCAACCCTGATCAGAAAGATACAAATAGTAAGTAAAATTTAACTAAAATAAAATTGGAAAGAATTATGTTACATACAAAATACCTTCTTCACAGTAAAAGAGGTCTATAGCAAATAACTGAGAAATGGGATCGTTTTTTCTTTACGAAAAGGAAGCATAAAGCTAATTGGAAGGAACGGTATACATAAATAAAAATATAAAATAGATGTATATATTTCATGGATCAGCCAAAAGGAATTAAATTTATAAACTTATCTATTCCATTTTGATATGAAATAATCAGTTTAGCTTTAGAACAAAATCATCATGAATTCTTCTCTGTGCAAATAAAGAACTCTGAACTGCGGATGAAAAATCATATTTTGTGTGTTGTAAATGTATATGTATAGCATGTTTAGTTTATTATAAAATCAGTTTTGAATGATAAAACTAGAATAATATTCATATGATAAATTCCAGCAAGAACTCAAAAAAAAAAAAATAAATAAATAAAAAAAACAGAAAAGGGTAAAGAAAGAAAGAAATATTATCTACTCTTAAAATCAGAAACAGTCACATATAACAATGTGGCATATCTTTTAAATTATGCTCTATTTCAAACTTAATTTATAAGTTAGGAATTTTAGAATGCTTAACTATCTCTTTTTGTTGTTGTTGTTATTCGTTTGATAAACTGATTTTGGTTTTCATTTATGTGTTCAATGAACAAAATTAATATCTTGAGTCTTCACTGAACAAAATCACTAATTTTACTCATACCCCCCCCAAAAAAAATTGAAATTATAGAGTTTCTTCTCTGGTATTGTGACGACATACAGAGTTTTGTAGAATGATTTAAGAAGTATGTTCTGATTGTGAAACACTTTTAGACGTAAAAGCAAGCTTGCACAGGATCAATCAGGCACAATTAGCACTTTACACTTTCAAACCATAAGGTATTTTCTTCCTCCTTATCGCATGTCTTCCTGGTGGAAGCACGTCAGGCTAGAAATCACAAGGTGCGGAATTTCAATCATGGCTAAGTCACAGTACATTCTGCATGTTTCTGAAAGAAAAAAAAAAAAAACCAACGTCTCCCAACATTTTGCAGCTCTTTTTTGACCTGTTCTTTTACGCAATATATTCCTCGACATGGGTATCTTCGTTTCTAAATTAGAAGACACAAGATTTACTGATATACTTTGTGAAGACACAATAACACGCCGAATAAATACTAATTCAGAAGTCAAACAACAAAAATCAGCGTTAATTTACAAGATTTTCACAGGACTAGTTTCGATGGTTTTACCGAACCATCATCTTCAGCTGCAAAACCGCAAATGAAAAAGATAGGAAATAATGTTTAGATAAGATAAGAAAGCCTGGACAAGAATAAGCAAGTGGCGCCATCTGTTTACGAAACCAGAACTAAAACATAATTTCTCTAAAAGCCGAAGGCAAATTTGGATTGGAATTAGGATCGTTAACTAGAACAGAAAGATTTTTATGAATGTGAAATGCCTCTAGAAAATCCAGTTCTCCAATGGAAGATGTTTTTTGAATAATTTTGGCAGCAGAAAAATTGAAAGTGTGATTTTCGGACCAAACAATGTTGAGCAACAGAAGACTTCTGTGTTTCCTTTTTTCTAACATATGCCTCATGTTCTTTGACGCGAAATTTTAAGGCTCTCTTAGTTTGGCCAATGTAAATTAAACCGCACTGGCAAGGAATCCTATAAATACCCAGGAATTCATATCCGGAATGGGGTCCTTGAGTATAGAAGTTGGAATTTTATTGATGGGAGAGTAAACAACCCGAAAGTTAAATTTCTGCAAAATATGTGCAACTTTATAGCTAATTGATGGAAAGAAGGGAATGACAACAGAATTTTTATAATCTCCTAAAATAAGAGTGTGGCTTTTAGTGTGTTGAGATGAGAATTTTTTAACTGCTTGATTAATAATGTTAGGTGAAAAGCCCCTGTCAATAGCTATGCTTTTAAATAATTTAGTTCTTCATCAAGGGCTGGTTTGGAGGAGCAAACTTGAAGAGCACGGAAAACATAGGAATAAAATGAAGCTAACTTTTGTTTAGTCGGATGACATGATTTAAAGTGTGGTGGAAGGCAAACCGATGAAGGTTTACGGTAAACTGTAGTACTGAAGTTGGATGTGTTACGTGTGACCAGAATGTCGAGAAACGGAAGAGAATTGCAAGTCTCAAGTTCAAAAGTGAACTGAATAGCAGGATCAATAGAATTCATTGTTGAAAGAACTTTATTTAATCATCTTTATTACCTTCAAACAGGGTAAAAGTATCGTCTACGTAGCGGAACCATGCCGGGAAGTTTAAAGTTTCAAACAATTTTGATTCATAATAATGCATGTAGATATCAGCCAGGATGGGACTGAGGGGGCTTCCCATGGCTAATCCCTCAGTTTGCTGTAATATTTATTTTGGAAAACAAAATGTGTTTGTTTCAAACAGAGTTGAGTGAGAGAAATTAGCTCATCAATTTCGATGCAAGAGAAATGAAATTCGCGAAGTCTGGTTTCTAGACATCTTAATGCACCCTCCACTGGGACATTGGTGAATAATGATTTTACATCAAACGAAACCATGAGTAAATTACGAGCAGAAATGTTTTTAACCTTTTTTACAAACTCTATTGAATTTTTTATGGTGTAAATGTTATTGTCTAATAGAGTGGAAAATCTAGAAACTAAATATTTAGCTAATGGATACGAGGCAGTACCTAAATTTGATACAATAGGGCGGAAAGGAATACCACTTTATGAATTTTGGGAGAGCATAAAATCTGGCACAATTCGCAACAGATGGGATAAGCGAGGACTGTTTTAAGTTGCTTGAAATGATTTGCGAAGATTTGATCGCAGTTTTTATTTTGGATAAGGTCCGAAGGTGAAGGATCTTTAGGGATCGGATTATATTGTCCTTCGTTTAAGAGTTTAGTGACACCATCGATGTAAGTGGTTTTATCCATGACGACTATCTGGCCACCTTGTCGGCCTTTGAAATGATAAGAAACTTACATCGATGGTGTCACTAAACTCTTAAACGAAGGACCATATAATCCGATCCCTAAAGATCCTTCACCTTCGGACTTATCCAAAAATAAAAACTGCGATCAAATCTTCGCAAATCATTTCAAGCAACTTAAAACATTCGCTTATCCCATCTGTTGCGAATTGTGCCAGAATTATATGCTCTTCCCAAAATTCATAAAAGTGGTATTCCTTTCCGCCCTATTGTATCAAATTTAGGTACTGCCTCGTGTATCCGTTAGCTAAATATTTAGTTTCTAGATTTTCCACTCTATTAGACAATACCATTTACACCATAAAAAATTCAATAGAGTTTGTAAAAAGGTTAAAAACATTTCTGCCTAGTAATTTACTCATGGTTTCGTTTGATGTAAAATCATTATTCACCAATGTTCCCAGTGGAGGGTGCATTAAGATGTCTAGGAAACCAGACTTCGCGAATTTCATTTCTCTTGCATCGAAATTGATGAGCTAATTTCTCCTCACTCAACTCTGTTTGAAACAAACACATTTTGTTTTCCAAAATAAAATATTACAAGCAAACTGAGGGATTAGCCATGGGAAGCCCCCTCAGTCCCATCCTGGCTGATATCTACATGCATTATTATGAATCAAAATTGTTTGAAACTTTAAACTTCCCGGCATGGTTCCGCTACGTAGACGATACTTTTACCCTGTTTGAAGGTAATAAAGATGATTTAAATAGAGTTCTTTCAACAATGAATTCTATTGATCCTGCTATTCAGTTCACTTTTGAACTTGAGACTTGCAATTCTCTTCCGTTTCTCGACATTCTGGTCACACGTAACAATCCAACTTCAGTACTACAGTTTTACGTAAACCTTCATCGGTTTGCCTTCCACCACACTTTAAATCATGTCATCCGACTAAACAAAAGTTAGCTTCATTTTATTCCTATGTTTTCCGTGCTCTTCAAGTTTGCTCCTCCAAACCAGCCCTTGATGAAGAACTAAATTATTTAAAAGCAATAGCTATTGACAGGGGCTTTTCACCCAACATTATTAATCAAGCAGTTAAAAAATTCTCATCTCAACACACTAAAAGCCACACTCTTATTTTAGGAGATTATAAAAATTCTGTTGTCATTCCCTTCTTTCCATCAATTAGCTATAAAGTTGCACATATTTTGCAGAAATTTAACTTTCGGGTTGTTTACTCTCCCATCAATAAAATTCCAACTTCTATACTCAAGGACCCCATTCCGGATATGAATTCCTGGGGTATTTATAGGATTCCTTGCCAGTGCGGTTTAATTTACATTGGCCAAACTAAGAGAGCCTTAAAATTTCGCGTCAAAGAACATGAGGCATATGTTAGAAAAAAGGAAACACAGAAGTCTTCTGTTGCTCAACATTGTTGGTCCGAAAATCACACTTTCAATTTTTCTGCTGCCAAAATTATTCAAAAAACATCTTCCATTGGAGAACTGGATTTTCTAGAGGCATTTCACATTCATAAAAATCTTTCTGTTCTAGTTAACGATCCTAATTCCAATCCAAATTTGCCTTCGGCTTTTAGAGAAATTATGTTTTAGTTCTGGTTTCGTAAACAGATGGCGCCACTTGCTTATTCTTGTCCAGGCTTTCTTATCTTATCTAAACATTATTTCCTATCTTTTTCATTTGCGGTTTTGCAGCTGAAGATGATGGTTCGGTAAAACCATCGAAACTAGTCCTGTGAAAATCTTGTAAATTAACGCTGATTTTTGTTGTTTGACTTCTGAATTAATACTTTGTGAAACAAAGAAACTTTCATTCAAAATTCAAGTGCAGTATATCAGTAAAATATGAAATACGTAGTTTTTGAACTTCTTCAAATGTAGTTTCTTCTATTATAAAACATTCCTCCTCTATGGTCTTTCCATCTTTAAAGGTCTTAAACTAATATAGAACATTTGTAACGCCTTACTCCACCTGTAAGTGTCAATAACTAAAGGTTATTTGGCTTTACACCTGCAGCAA